CACTACCCTGGTCGTATCACAGCCCGTAGCCCTATTTACTCTGTCACGGAACGAACGGAGCTGCCCTGTTTATGTGTTCCAGCCCGCAGTTCCGGTCACTCCGTGCACAGAAGAGAGAAAGAAGAACTGTGTAGAATAAAGCGCGCCACCCTGATACCAGCCCGTAGCGTGCGCTATTCTGCCACGGAATGAACAGAGCTGCCCTGTTTATGTGTTCCAGCCCGCAGTTCCGGTCACTCCGTGCACAGGAAAGAGAAAGAAGGACTGTGTAGAATAAAGAGCGCCACCCTGTCACCAGCCCGTAGCGTCCTTTATTCTGTCACGGAAGGAGCAGAGCTGCCCTGTCCGTATTCCAGCCAGCAACTCCGGTCAACCCGTGTACAGAAGAGAGAAAGAAGAAATGTGTAGAATAAAGAGCGCTACCCTGTCACCAGCCCGTAGCGTCCTTTATTCTGTCACGGAAGGAACAGAGCTGCCCTGTCCGTATTCCAGCCAGCAGCTCCGGTCAACCCGTGTACAGAAGAGAGAAAGAAGAAATGTGTAGAATAAAGAGCGCTACCCTGTCACCAGCCCGTAGCGTCCTTTATTCTGTCACGGAAGGAGCAGAGCTGCCCTGTCCGTATTCCAGCCAGCAGCTCCGATCAACCCGTGTACAGAAGAGAGAAAGAAGAAATACCTGCATTCTTACCCGTACTTACATTGAACGGTCGGCTAACATCTGGCGTCGCGGCGCTGCTGACGGCGGCGGTACTGGCGGCGGCGGCGGTGGTTTTACCTTATCGGTCGGCTGCGGCAGGTCGGAGCGGTCTGGTAGGTCTGGTCGGTTTCGGAGCTCGGAGAGAAGTGACCAAACGCAGTGCGTGCTGCTATATTTATAAGCGGGAGGCACCGCGTCATGTCGTCGTCGATCGGCAGCGCAGATATCAGCGGTGGGGAATTGAGTTTTTGAAGCGCGTCGCGCACGTCGGTTTGTACTGGAGAGTGCTTTGCAACCGAGGTCACGCGTAGCCACAAAATATCAGTAGCAAATTAATTTAATTAACGGAAACGCGGATAAATTAGTAAAAATCTAGTAACCTACGTTACAGTTTCCCTTTCAACTTAAGTTTTAAATTTCGTATGCACCGCCAACTAAATCTGCTTAAGTTCTTCTTAAAGCTAAGTCATCGAAATCCTCGACTTAGGAAAGACCGGTAAGGTTTGTTGACGTTGTCTGTTTACGAGTGTCGTTTAACTATTTAACAAGATTTTGCATCCTTTGCTATAAAAAAAATGGAGTTGGACAGGCCAGTTGAAGACGATTTAGATATTTTGGATATCCTCGATTATGGGATACCAACAAGAGATTTTAATAGGGAAAATTATTTCCAGTCAATGGATGATTTGCCTTTTTTTCGACGATTCAGGTTGAGAAAACGCACCGTTTCGCAAGTATTGCAAGAAATAGAATAATTATTAGAATTTGATAATGTCTTTAAACTTAAAGTGTTTTGTCTCATGAAATTACTTTATTAGTAGTAACAGTTTCACTCCATTCAACCATTTGTTAACTACACTGCGATTTTTTGCTTGTGGAAATCGCCAAATAGACCTTGGTGATTTCATGAGCATGCATCAAACAACAGTTTCTCGTGTACTAAAAAAGTTGTCCTATGCTCTAGCCAGTTTGGCACCTATCTATATGAGAATGCCAAATCAGCAAGAAATCTTAACAGTACAACAAAATTTTTATCATATTGCGAGATTTCCTAAAGTAATAGTATGTGTTGATGGCACTTATGTGAAGATTCAATCACCAGGTATGATTATTTTTAGACCAGAGCCCAGAGCTATATTTGAATGCTATTATTTTTTAGATGTTAGTTATGCATTTTATTCACTTTTTATACCTGTTGTGAATGGTTATTCCACTTTTTTTAGGTAGACAGGATGAAGAAATATTTCGAAATCGAAAAGGATACTTGTCGGTAAATGTCCCGGCAATTTGTGATAGCTATCTCAAAATAAGAGATATTGTGTGTAGATGGCCCGGATCGACACATGATATGACAATTTTTGATAATAGCAGGATAAGAGCAAGGATGGAGGGAGGAGAGTTGAATTGAAACTTGGAAATAATACTTTTAAATATTATTGAGTATGGGTAGTAAAATAAAAACAGCATTTTGACTTGACCAATGTATAATATTAATTGTAATTTGTTTTCAGCTGGAAATTGATTTCAACATTTCCTTGCCCGATCATGGAAAGAATTTATTCAACTCTTGGGAGATTATTAGCACTAAAATTATAGAATATTGAAGACGTGATATATTTTCTAAAGATAATGCAATAAAAAAACTACTGAAAGATTTAGCAGCTAAGATCTCTTCAGGTAAAATTGGAATATAACATTAGGTACATAGTATAAAATATATAAAAGTGTGCAAAATCGCAGCTCAATCGGTGTGCTCAAAATAACTTAGTCAAATAATTTCCAGTATTTATCTATATCTAAGGATAGAACAAATTTGACAATCAATTTCTATATTTTAGACGCAAGGGTTAACCTTAATATGATATGGCTAGCATACATTTTGCCAACAATAAGTATACGAAAGGGAAAACAAACCGGATGTTGGAGACCTTCTCGCCTTGAAGTTGCAGAAGGATTTTAATTACGATTAGAAGTAGTTTATATAATTTTTACAAGCTCTTTATGTCTGCAATATATCGAAATATCACCAGATTAAATCATGGGTTTGATAAGTTGGAGAGTGCAGTGCTCACTCAGATGCATGACGATGCTGAGCATGTAATATGCTATTTGCGCCGATCACTGACCAATATTGAACGCAAACACACGACGACAGCGAAGGAGTGTCTTGCAGTGCTGTTTGCAATAGAGAAACTCCGTTGCTACATCGAAGGCACAAAGTTCACGGTGATCACGGACCACTATAGTCTCAAGTACCTATTTGTAATATAGGGGTAGACCGTGCGCTGACCTACTTTCACCAGATGGACCCACCCGCCACTTTCCTACCATTCGTCCACCACCAGTCGTCCGCCGCGAATTTTCTACCCTTCATCCGCTACCACCCACCACCTCGAGTACCATATTTATTGGCTCCTAGTTGGAGACTTTTCATTCGTACACAATGTCTGATTCAGTTAACCTTAATCTATTCAATCAGCTTATTGAAATTTGTCTAGTGAGTTTAAAAAAAGTGCAAGGTATTACCACAGCATATACAAAAACAATCAGCAGGCTAACTTGAGTGACAGCCCGTTTAATAAAGGAATTCCTCGTCGCAATGTCACTAGCGGCCATTTTGGGATACGAAACAGGGCCTGATTAACGATAATTTAGGTTTTTTATTTCCTGTCACAGAGTCGTATTGGATTTAAATAAACTTATTTATCATTACTTACTTAGTTACATATAAAAATATTTATAATTACTAATTTATTATTATTATTATTAAATATACAACAATGATAACAGATAACACTATAAATGACAACGCGAATATACTAAAATCACTTCGAAAATCATAACTAAAATTCCGCTCTACACCGCACGCCTATGACCTCCGTCAGAAATAAAAAATAAAATAAAATTTCGGCGTCCCTGCCATTTAATGTCAGGATGGTATCCCCTAATGGCGGCGTGCGCATAAAAGATGCGCGTGAGAGTTAGCCTGCTGATTGTTTTTGTATATGCTGTGGTATTACGATATCAATTGTATGCATAGTAGACCTTCATATGTGGATTGATATTATAATCTAGCGGAAAAACATTATGGTGCAGCTAGTGCTTGTGACGAGTATTTAATAAACAAAAATTTGTTCAGTCTATTGGAAAAGTTGACGAGCTTAGGATTTGACGAGCAAATAGCAGATTTGAAGGATAATATTGCAGATAGAGAGATAATTCAATATATCGAGGAACAAGAAGAAAAATTTAGTTTTATGGCTGTAGAAAAAGCATTAATTTAATATGGAAGACATTGTAAGGGAGTTGTGTGAAGACTTTTTAATGTGTAAAGTTTGTTCCGAATTTAATGCCATAGAGGGACAAGAAACTGAGGCTCAGGATTTTGGACTATACTTGAGATACATGGAGCATGCAAATCAATGTGAAAAAGCAGCGCAAGTCTGTCATGAATATTTAATAAATAAAAATTTTGATATGCTTCTATGGAAATTAAATAGGTTAGAATTAACTAACTGTACTAACTATTTAATCAAATGTATAAAAAACTAGTTTAAAAAAAAAAAAAAACATTTGTATTATTTAATAAAAATGATTTTCACATATTTAATCAATGAAACATTAATTTTACGCCTTTGTAATTATTAAAAAAACTATTATATTATAAACAAATAAAAAAAAACTCACAGACTTTTTTAAAGATTTATTACATAAAAATCTGATTATACAAGAAAAAGACATTTGATAAGGCACAGATACATGGTGATTTGTTATGATAAAAGCAGCATGAATCCATTTTTTTCAAAGATGGCTGTTCATCTAACTCTATAACTGGTTTGTTGGAGAATTCTCTAACATAATCCGCCTCTTCAGAGCCTTTAATGTAGACATAAGAAGCATGAGAACTTAAATTCAATTCTCATGACTACCGAACCAGTCTAGATCGATTCTTTTTGATGAGAGCAGTCGATATGTGTAATTGGTGATATTTTTGAAAAGTTTTCCCGATTGAAAATTTGCTCATTAATTAGACCATAATACGAATGTCTGAAATTTGTAAACATTTCATAAAGGGGTGAAAATTTATTCTCTTTGAAGTTCAAATACAAGTCATGATAAGGATAACGCTCAGAATTTAAGCATATTCGTATGTTTGTCAAATCGACATCATCAAACTGTCTGATATCTTTAACTTCCCCTTTTCTATTTTCCTGAAAGGCAATAACAACATGATGAGGTGACTCGAGTTTGCTTGTTGTTTTAACTGGCCAGGTATGACGAGTTGTTTCGGGTAGGGAAGAATTCAATAATTCAATTCAATAATTTCCCAACTCCTGAACCCTATTAAAATATCTTTATTGGTTTCAAGTATTTTTGTTAGGGCAAGCTGTTGAGGTATGTCTACTAAAATATGGGGTATTTTCCAATATATTTTATCGAAAGTGATAGCAGGTATTTCGTTCGTGGTTACTTCAATTTCTAGATCATCTTTAAACAGAACCCCATCCAGATCATTACTAGCTCTAATTAAAACCAATTCTTGCTTCATATTAATTATTATTTTTTTATAATCTTTAAAAAATCCTAAAAGCATATCAAGCGGTATTGTTTTCACAAAATTTTCCATTATCGTCATCCAAAATTCTGTCAGCTTCATTTCTGTCGGGAAACCAGCCAGCATTTTCATATTCCAAACTTTCATTGGTATCGAAGAAAGGTATCCCTTTAATGTAGGAGCCAACCCTACATTTCTCACTGAATCAATTAGACTATCCAAGATGCTGTCAAACCAAACTTAAATTAAAATGTCTGCCAAGAGGCACACGAACCCTTTGTCTAGGTGTCATTCAATTTGTCATCAAATAATGTTATGAGTTTAAAATAGTGCTCATTGTGAATTATTTGCGTTCTGATACTTTAAACTATTGTTTTTATTAATTTTAAAAATAGTGTATTTAAATAGTGTATGTAAATAGTAGTAAATGGTTCTTAAAAAAGCGAAAAGCATGCCTACAACGTGTTGTATTATCAAATGTGGAAGTCGTGGAGATCACAGATTAACCCAGACCGAGACATTGTTAAGTTTTTTCAAATTCCCAGTGAAAAAAACAATACAAATCAAGGGACAACACTGGACGGTGAAGTTGAAACAAATAAACATTTTCACATTAAGGGTAGGTCCTGCGTGTCCAAGTGAAATACAGGTAGAACAACCTTACCCAAACAACAAGGATTCCGTAATTGTGTAGAAACTAGCAAAAATAGAGACGCACACAATAGAAAATGAGTATTGAATAATGATCAGAGGTACAACATATCAAAGATTCAAGCAATAGGGAACTTGACAATCATAAGAATATATTATGTTAAAACATATATCAGCGAAAAAAACAATTTTTTTTTGTCGAAAACGGCCGCAATAAGGAATTAAAAATGCGGAAAAATTCAAATTATTTCCAGCGGGAAAAAACGCGCTGGTATTGGTCGTGACGTCATCTGTTATGATTTGTCATTGTCTGTCAGCAACCGTCCATCATACCGTAAGTTCGTCTTGAAACACTGAGCGCTCGGAGAATTTTCCATCTTTTTTCCTTATGATGAGAAGAAAAAAAGATAAAAGAACAAAACAGCAGCTCCGAGCGTTTACTCGAACTCTACATAGTAAATACCTGTTAGCTGTGTTTAGCTACGTTTTTATCTAATTTATTAAAATTTTATCATCATTAGAAGTGGTTTACTTAGCTTAAATTCAATGATTAGTTCAGCATTATATAAATAAAACGATATACCTATTAATTATGACCGAAGAAGGAAATTCCAAAGGCCAATCTGACAATCTGTAATTTGTGATATGTTTATGGTATCAAAAGTAAGTATGTGCTTATGTTCCATTATAACTTCAAAATTTACAACTCGCCGCAACACAAAACAACAAATAACATTTAGCGACAAGGTGACGCAAAATCATACTACGTGACGTCATCTAGATTCGCGCGCATTTAAGTTCGTTTGAAATGCTTTTAATATGCGCGAAACTTCAAACATTTTTCACCAAGTTATTATTGAGTTTTAGGGAATTATATTTGCGGAATACTCTTTCAAGGTATAAATAAATGATTTTAGAAAATTTTAAAAAAAAATGTAAAGTGCCCTATTTCACCGAAACCACTTTGACATAACATAATGACGTTACTGTTTGTATTTGTGTCAATGTTTGTGTGCCTCTTGCCGGCCATATTTTACTTGTCAAAGTCACGTATTTTGGATAGGCTAAGAGTAACTCCATTCAGCTCATAACGAATTTCTCTAAAGAGAAATGCAATTCCATTATTAATAAATAGAAGTCTTTTTGTATATTTTCCTTCCGTATTTGCTAATGTCCCTTCGATATATAGAAAACTTTCTGAAGGTAAAGTGTAGGTATCCAATTCCTGACTGGGTATTCGTATTTCATCCTTATGGTCAAACTTTGATGAAATAAATGGTTGATAGCTATGTAGCTCTGAGCTGATAATGGACTTGTCGACGTATAACTTTTCATTTAAATTTAAAATATCCATTATATCAACACCTTAAGTCCAAGTGATTCTAAAAATCTGCGATTATGTTGTGTTAGTTGTAAGCTGTTTTTTGTTATACTGGATTGATTTCTAATTTTTTTCTTTATATAAGTTTTTTTAGTATTTATTTCCTCGATAGGTTGCGGTTGAATTTTTCTATTATATCTAATAACCATTTTGAACACCTTAAGATTTCAAATGTAGTCTAACTGTTATTGGTTCTTGGCGAAAATTAATAAGATCTCCGTCTTGATCAATTATTTTAACAGTTATGTTGTTAAGTGTCTTAACGCTAATTGGAAAATACAATATAGGTATGGGAGACTCCACTATTTTATACCCTGCGGCCACTATGGGGTAAAATTGATGAATGATGTGTACAGGTTTACCATTATTGAACGAGCCCACACAAATATTACAATCCACACAAATAGCGTTCACTTTACTAATGTTGACCACAACATACGGAACCTTCCTTCGAAAAATTAATTTCTTTGTTACAAAATATTTGACAGTTTAAGGTGTTTGTATTTGGTTTAAGTGAAAACACATTTTTTTCATTTTCAAAAACATTTCTAATTGTGATTTTTATAAATTTCTTTACATCAGCAATGTCATAAAGTCCGTTTTTTTCCAAACATAAAAGTCAAAATGACATTATGTTGGCAATACAATGTAAAATTGTCAATGCTTTTAAATTTTTTATGTAGAAAAGGCTTGTGTTGCCAACATAGTTACTTACTAAATTTTTGACTTGGGGAATTATCTTAAAAAAAAAAAAAAAAAAAAAAAAAACAAACTTTAGGTTACCTTCTGGAATGGTGATTATTTTATCACCTATGTACAACTTGTTACTATTTTGATCAATATTCGGAATACTCATAAAAGTTTCAAAATCAGCTAATCCTAAATAATATTGTTTTAAAATACCTTTGAATGGTTATGTTTGCATGCTATCTTATAATAAAGAATTATGCATTTGCCTTACTTTATTATTATTTGGTTTTCTCGTGGGACGTCAAATAGCGAGATTGAATGTGTTTATGTTAGGATAATTAACACACGTTTCCCATGCCCTCATGCTCAGAAGCCTTGGACATATGTTTCAAAAGGTTTCACTCACTACATGCCGAATAAGCTAGGGAGTCTGAACAGGTATGGGCTTTTCTCCGAAGAGGAGTTTAAAAACTGCATACAAAGTGGGATATAGTATATATCATGCGGAGTTAGAAAGTGTTTCATTATTTTCGGCGCTACGCACCTCGGTCAACCAAGTCTCGAGACATTCAGTCGTATGAATAAAGTGCAGCAAATGATGCTTTTACTCTACCTCCGTCTTTTTTTGCTGCATTGAAGCTGAATATGTATTTCTCAAAAAACATAAGCAAAAGTATTTGCTTCTGTTTTATTCATATGAGCCAATATATGTGGAAACTTTCCACTGAAATATGTATACTATTTTATTTTAAACCATTATATATATAAATAATCAAATATTGCTTTGATTATGAAAACGTACGTCGCAAACTATTTTCCATTAGTAAAAATTTGTTTATTGTTATTTATATTTATTAATTATGTAAACAAAACGGAGGTGTGGATCTGTGTCCATGTGGCCTGTGGTAGTGTGATTTTTGTTTGGTTTATAAAATAGATGAACGTCAACGTAGAGGCACAAAAAGAAAATGTATTCTAGCATCAATTATGGTGGCATCGAAAAGATTTTCAGACGCTATAATAACTGATAATACTCGTGACTCTAGCTCTGATAGTGAAGACGAAACTGAAGAGCTATTAATCCATAGAGTTATGCTGACAAATCATTTCAATCCCATTTCAGACTAACCAGACCAGCTTATAATAAAATATTGAATCTTGTTGAACCCTTTTTGAAAACAAAATATGAATATGCACGCCTTCGAAAGCAAATAGAAAAAAAAAATTATTAGGAGTCCTGTGGCTGCTGGCTACTCCAGATTCGTATGGGTTAGTGCACTTTTTTATTAGTGAACTACTTAGACTCACTAGTATTGTTAATTATTACACAAAAAACTACAAAAACTTTTTTTTGCAGATCTTTAGGAGACAGGTTTGATCTAGGGAAAGCCAGCCTCTCAGATTGGTTTTTTGAATTTATCAGAGCTCTCTATTAATTGGCACCAATCATTATCAAATTTCCATTTTATAGAGAAAAACTGATAATTGAGGAAACATTTTGCTAATTTTCCAAATACAATTGGAGCTGTTGATGGAACTTACATTCCAATTAAAAATCCAATAAATCATGCTGAGGCGTACTTAAAAAGAAAAAGTTGCTATGCTTCAACCCTTCAGGCGATTAGTGAGCCTTCATTAAAGTTTATTGCTACATTTATGGGATATCCTGGATCGGTTAATATCTGCAGGATTGTTATAAATAGTAATACATACAAACAGCTAGTTGCAAATACAGGGCAGTTTTGGAAGAAAATACATTTATATTGGGAGATAAAGCATATCCCCTACTTGATTGGTATTTAAGACCATATATAAATAAAGGAAATTTGATCCCATGATAAATTTATTTCAATGAGGTACATGCAACGACTCGGCAAGTCATAGAAAGGACTTTTCGTTTGTTTTTTTTGGGAGGTATAGGAGATTTAAGCTACTGGACATGACCTGTACAGAACTAATACCTATAACAGTTGTTGCAACTTGTGTTTTGCACAGCTTAGGCTATTTCCTTTTTCTTGAATCACACAGAAGAGAAGTCACGTTATAGTTTTCTTCTGAGGCATTTTGGCCAATTCGAGAGAATATTTGGGAAGTAATTGAGTCTTAAACGGCGGCTACTATTCTTATATAACACCACAACAAGTATTTGCTAATTTAACAAGATTTTAGTACGTAAAAACACAATAATGGAAAATAAGTTTGGTTCGTGTCACGTGGTGAGTGTCGAAAAGGCCAATCCACATTGGCCTTTTATATTGGGTAAAGTTACATTCCATTCTGCTGTTGCTGTCATTAGATGCACAAAGGCACCTGATTGCTGACTTGCTGGTGCTTAATCCTGGACCTGATAGATTGCTTGTGGAGCTTTTGGGGCCTGTGAATCTCAATCATCCCCCAAGAGGTTCCTAGTATTAACACTCCATCA